AAAAGCAACGTAAATAATAACCAAGCGAGAAATCGAACTAGAGAATCTTACCGATTACTACCGAAACGATCGCGAACGACGACCGTGAACAACGAAATTCTTATCAACGAAGGATATTCGGTTTGTGCGGCCTGTTGCAGGATCAGTGTTTTTTTTATTCTGAACTTCGTCGACGAAGGCCGTGCGAACGATCTCGGATTCAACACACTGCACGTCTGGCAGCATCACGCAGACGACGCGCGAGAAACGACGTTCTACGGTCCTGTGGACAAAACGCGCACCGTTTCATGGAGAAGCACGCCTCGCTGTCTGCGATAAGAGATTTGAAAACTCGGCGACCGAGTACCATAGTTCGCGCCTGCGCCACGATATTTTACTCGTCACATACCCCGAAACACGTGGTATCCTTCGAAGCACCGCCCCTTTCCAACTTGTCGCGGTGTAACATAAAAGTTTTGAATATTTACGTAAGACGCATAAAAGCATTCGTATCACCTGTATCAGCGGTCGAGACCGATATTGAAAAACAAACAAATTCTCTCGCGGTTGAACTGCGTACGTTGCGAAGGACTCGAAGACAAACGGCGTAAATTTTCGTCAGATCGAATAGAACAGAGAGTGATCTTAGAACCGAAAGATATCACGGGCAGGTATCACGAAGGCAGGCTACTCGAAAACTCGACGTGTTCCATGTCCAAGGGGGAGAAAAACAGGTTTAAGAGCCGTAGTTGACCGGTCGCCTTTTTTAAATCGGTCATCTATCTAGCCGATGGAAATTACATCGATTCGAAATCAGGCAATCACTCGTGGCTGCGGACCCGGGACGACTCGAAACTCACTGAAAACCGTAATCAATGATGGAGCCAGCGTAGTCGTAACGTACACAAATTAAAAGGAAGGTGAACGTGTTCGCGCACGAACGACGGTTTCGTGACACCGAGGAAGAAAAAGGACACGTTACACTCGCGATCGGAGGAACGTCGTGGATAAGCACATGGCAAACATGTCCCTGCCGCAGGATTATACATAGCAGCCGGCGTTCAAGCGGTCCGCGTCGCGATTGCCGGCACGACTAAAAAACCATACGATGACCTCATCACACGAAGTCTGCTCTCCTGCCTGTGTCACTACTAGCCATCCTGGAAACATCCGTAACCTCCGTCATCTCCTAGACGCTACTGTTCGTGTTTATTTGAAACATCTTCTTCTTATTTGGAATAGCCTACAAGAAGAAAAAAATGCCAGGATATTAATTATACGAAATCGCACATATTTTTCGATGTTTTGATGATAATTTTTAAAATACCCGCCTTCCCTGCCCATTTCAATGCAACGCTTGACATACGTTGCAAACATACCAGATATCATTTTAAAAGATTTATTAATTATCTTAGAAAACTTATTATTTTAAAGATTTAATATCAAACGTATTGAAAACTATGAAATTTTATTTAATACGAAATTGCTCCTCTCATATCATGGTTTTGTTCCATATAAAAGGAAGTAATGTCTTTTAAACTGTAAATGTAGAACATTTAGAACAATACACAATATTGAAAACATAATACATAATATATTATATACATAATATTCATAATTTCATAATTTAAATAATTGCATTCATAATTCAAAATTTATGCAGAAATAAATATGTATTTTGAACATTATATGCAAATCAGAGTAGAATAGTATAGTAAGACACGTGCGATCTGTATGCGTCACAGTATAACGTGTAAGTGTCATGGATTCAAAAGATTTATGAATTATATTGCAAGGAATATTTAATAAGATTTTTTATTGCAATACTGAACTTTTTCATTGATATTTGTATATCCTAACAGAAAACATTTTATGAAATCTGTGATTGTTGTATACATAAGAGGTTATGTACTGTGCTTAAATATTGTTGTAGAAAAACTCTTCATAAACATTGTCGTAGTAAGAATGTATGTATTTACATGTAAGTATATTCTTTTCACCGACAGTTAACACATATTTGGTTTTAGATTTTAATTGAACCATAATTCAGAATGTCCTCTAATAAGTCTGGCAGTACAAGGAATTCAATTCCATCAAATGTCCAAATAAAGGTAGAACCTGGGACCTCCTTGCCCGTAGCTATACAAAATATTAAAACAGAACCTGGTTTATCAGCCACAACTAGATTAACTTCTTTCCGTTTACCAAGAGATTTAACATTAGGAGGTAACATTAAGACTGAGAAACCCAAGAAAGTATATATACCAAATTTAAATGCTCAAAGAATAAAGAAAAAGGAGTAAGTTAACTTAACAAAACTAAATTGATGAGTATGTGATCAAATACATGAAATAATCAAATGATATTTAACTTTTAGGGATGTAACACAAAATGATTCTGTAAAATCTTCAGATAAAGATCAGAAGAGAGGACGCAGTATTATTGATAGAGGACGTGACAGAGGACATGGAAAAAAATCCAGCAATTTGATTCAAGTATATTAGAAACATCTTTCTAAATATAACATTATCTCGCAAAATTTTATATAATAATGTGTTTGTAGTCTAGTGGTATCTGGTCTACTGGGATAATGACTTCACCAGGAAAACGCCATAGTAGTAGTTCCAGAGACAGTGATAGAAGCTCTCAAGCATCTTTAGAAAAACCAAAATTAGATCTGAATCGTAGTGTTGATAAAGCTGAAGAGGAAGAAAAAGTAAAATTGTTACTAAGGGATGATTTTATTGATGATGGAGATTCTCTAAACATTGAAAATGCACCAATTCTTTTACCACTAATCAAAGAAGGTTTTTATTGGCTATATCTTTAGTAATTATTCTAAAAATAAATCATACTATATCAATTTTTATCTATTATAGCAAAGTTATACAAAGAAAGTAAAGTACAAGCTGAAGAAGAGCAAGACGAAATAGATAGGAAGCCAATTATTTTAGAAAATGGAGAGGGTAAGCGTAATGTTTCTTTCTCTCTGTTGATTTTTTAATGATAATTTCATGATAACTTTATGACAATAATACTTCTAGTATTATCACCAAAGAAGGAACTTAAGACGCCCAAATCTAGTACAGAAACGAAAGATGAATTTCTAGATAACATTCCTAATATTGTTGAAAATAAAACAAACTCATACATCTTAATGCAGGTAACGATTTCTATTAAAAATAAAATATCGTTCATTTTCACTAAACGATTAATATAGTTTCCAGATTGTTTACCAGGTCTAGTAAATGGTGTAGAAAACACTAGACCTGGTCGGTCAAATATGTCAAATTATGAAAAAGAAAGCAAACCCCAAACGGCATTTTGTACTTTAAATAGCTTAAAACCTGGCATTTTAGGAAAATTACAAATCTTGAAATCGGGTAAAACACGTTTGTTATTAGGAGAAAATAATTTAGTTGTTGATGTTGGATCACATCTTACATTTCGGCAAGTACGTATTTAAATAGTAAATGTAAATATTAGATGATAGAACTCTAATAATAACTAATATTGCAGGATCTTATTGCCGCAAAATTGGATACTGAAAATTTAGTCGGTGAATTAATTAACCTAGGTCCAGTTAGCAGTATGCTTTTATGTACGCCCGACTGGGAATCAATGTTGGCTAAATTGTAAATCAATTTTTAATATGAATAGATTTTTATTATATATTCTTTATTATGTAGATTATATAAAGCATTTACGGGAAAGAGGAAGAAGTTTTAATCTTTCTTAGAGAATGAAAATTTATTTGTCAAAGTAATTCAATCATAACTTCATATTTTTAAAATAAATAAAATATATTAAAATAAATGCAAAATTCAGAAAATTTTAATTTTCAATACGATATAACCAATGTTAAGAAGCATACATAGGAGATATTAAAATTGATATGCTCTTTTTCCTTCGTAAATCTTTTATACGTGAATGTGATAAATTATATTTGTATTTAATATAAAAACTCAGATTTTTTTGAAAATCATGTATTTTCGTTAATACAGTATATACGTGAAAATCGTGTCACGTACAAATCCATTAGTAATTCATAAATCTAAATAAATTTACAATAGTTGTAGAATAAAGTTTGTTATATAATTTATGTGAATGAATATCTTAAGAGAATGTGATTCCTGTGAAGTACACATTTCTCTCAAGACGTAATTTATACTTTTAGCTTAATTCAATATAAACAATGAAAAATTATTTTTACACAAATTAGATTTACAAATTAAATCCATTATCACGTTGTAAAATGAACATTAATTCGTAAACTTATGAACTACAAAAAGATATTATGTTTTTGCACAATTATATTAACTTTGAAAATGTAAAAATTGTACATATAAGTGGCACAAAAAATTACTATTCTATGGTAGTAACACTTTTGTAAAAGTATATTACTTTTGTTCGCTAATTCAAAAGTACAGCTATTGCATTCAACTTTGTAATTTTAGTATTTAAGGTCATTGAAATTAAATTTTCTTACCTAAGACAAGTTTGTTGAATAATATCAGACTTGTTTTACACAAAAACTGTGACACGATAAAATCTTACTTATCAATAAAATAATGAACTGAAACATATTCGTGATGCAAGTGCATTGTAATAAAGGTACACATGTGACATACCCTTGATAAATTTCACAAGTTCTTAATCACTTGCCTCTATGCTATGTCCTTTTTTCATCGATTTTAATGCTTTTTCGCGAAGTTTTTTTTCTAATTCTTCTGTATTACCTTCACTTACATCAGATTCGTCAGAATCTGCAACCTTCTTCTTTTTGTGTTTTCTATGCTTTTTATGCTTCTTATGTTTCTTGTGCTTTTTATCCTTTTTCTTTTTTTTTTCTTCTACTTCACTTTCCTATAAATGCAAATTGCAAATAATAAAAATGAATTCACACCTCGCAAAAATCGAGTCTTGATAAAATGAACAGTTACCTCTGATTCACTGGTGCTAGTTTTAGTCTTCTTTTTACGTTTCTTCTTTACTTTTTCCTCATCTGAACTGTCATCCGCTTTTTTCTTTTTTTTTGTATCTTTTTCGCCTACTTCCTCATCGTCTGTACTAGAGTCCCGTTTAGATTTTCTCAGTCGTACTTTTCCTTCGTCTTCACTTGTAGAATCCTTCCTTGATTTTCTTGTTCTTGACTTTTCATCTTCCGAAGAGCTATCTCTTCGTTTTCGTGTTTTTTTCGGTTCGTCATCTGAGCTTGAATCTTTTTTAGATTTCCGTAATCTTGATCTATCGTCTTCAGTTTTATTTCTTTTTACTTTTTGATCTTCATCCCCCGAAGACGAATCTTTCCTAGATCTTTTTGATTTCTTCGTTTCTTCCTCTAATTCTTTTTTCGACCGCTTACGAGATTCATTTTCATTGATTTCTCGTTTTCTACTATCTTTTCTATCTTTTGCTCGTTCGTCTAATGAATCTGTGGAAATTAATAAGGTTTTAAAATCAGTATTATTAAATTAAAATATTAAAAATTTACCTCCTCGATTCGAATCTTTAGCCTTTTTGCCTTTTTCCGCGTGCTTCCTTTCTTCTTCAGAATCTGAACTTGAACCTTTATCTGATTTTTCTTCATCCGTAGAAGTTTTCCTGGATTTCCTGGACTTTTCTAATTTTCTTGATTTCTTCTTTCCTACAGTCAGAAATAATGTAAATTATTAAAGAAACACAGCCATTGCGTGTTCAACTTCTTCCTACCTTCACTTTCACTATCATTTGAATCTGAAGAACCATCACGTTTTTCTCGTTTTGATTTTTTTGCTACTTCTGTTGGTTTTTTCAAGAGAACTGGTTCTGACGACTTTTGTCCTGATTTCTTATCCTCGGATGTAGTTTTGATCGATTTGATCGACTTGTCATCTTTCTTTAGCGGGAACGTATCTGCGGATGAAAAGCTCGATTCTTCTTTTGGTGATCCTTCTTTATTATCTTCTCTAAAGATAACAAGTAACAAACGTTTAAAGTGAACGATTTTCTTATGTATCAAACAATATATAGAAAATGTATTTAAACTTACTTCAATGGTTGTTTAACTTTAACTGCTGCTATAATGTCTTCAGTCTTTTTAAACGGGGATGGGGTTCTTGATAAACTCTTTGAAAACTATAATAACGGGAAAAGATAATACAAACAGCTACAAACGCATAAACGTATTTTAAGTGCGAATAATTGTCTTGAACTTACTCTGTGTCTAGTTACAGGAAGAGTAGCAGATTGAAGTTTTTTAGGAGAAACGCTGGGATCTGGTTTCTTGATGCTTGCAGGTTCGGTTTTCTTGACGTCCTTTTCGGGTCGTTTGACGGATTCCTCCTTGACAGGCTTCTCCTTTTCTTTACGTTTGTCATCGGCGTGTTCACGATCCCTCTCGCGTTCTCGTTTTTCCTGAGACGATTTCCGCTCGAGTGACTTTCTGCACATAGACAGCAAAAATTATTATCAGAGAAAGAGTAAGAATGTTCGTTCACTGCTAAGCAGGAAATACAACGTAGCTGCTTTACGCTCCGACAATCGTAAGGTCTGTAACAAAACGTGGAAGTATGAGATAATTGGTTTACTCACCTGGTCACTTCATCCTCATTGCTAGAGGAACTACTTTCGCTACTTTCCGAGCTACTTGACTTAGACCTTCCGTTTCGCAATTCTTTTCGCGATCCCGTATCAGTTGATCTTTTAATTTTTTCATCCACTTTCTTGTCCTTCATCTTCTCCTTAGCATCTCTTGAGCGATCGGGAGATCGTTTTCCATCTCTCGAACGATCCACCGATGACCTTTGATCTTTCGATCTCGATCTACGATCCCTAGTTCTAGATCTTCTATCTCTATCCCTTCTGTCCCTGTCTCTGGAACGGTCCCGCCTACTTGATCTGTCACGAGAGGAAGATCTATCGTACCTGAGGGAACGGTCCCGTCCGTCTGGCGAACGACGTCTGCTGTCACGACGATCTGGAGATCGACGTCTGTCTCTTCTTTCCGATGATCTTCGTCTTCGATCAAGAGATCTTCTTCGGCGCCTATCCCCAGGACTTGGCGATCTGCGGCGATATCTTGCCGGACTTCTTCGAGGAGGGCTCCTGTAACAACTACGAATTTATCAATATATTGACATTTATTTACGTATGGTTATACGATTTATTAGTAACAAACACGATTTATCTTACCTTCGCCTACTAGGTGCTCTACGCACTGACGGAGGTCGCATGCTACGACTACCGCTGTATCTGTCCAATCTCTCTCGTTCCCTTTCTCGTTCGCGTTCTCTTCTTCTTTCACGTTCTCTATCTATGGATCTCCTAAATAGAAATTAGTTCGGAATTTATACTATTGTAATAAATACTTGTGTGTGTGTATTATAATATTGTAATAAATACTTGCGCGTATATATATAATATATAACATTTATATTCACCTTCTATTCCTATCTCGAGATCTATCCCGAGACCTATCTCGTGATCTATCCCGCGATCTATCTCGCGATCTATCTCTGTCCTTAGACCGGCCTCTGTCCTTTCGCGGTGTAGGACTTCTTCGTTTAGGAACCGATTTCCTTTCACGACTCGAGTCACTGTCACTGCCACTATCATCTTTATTTGTCTTTCTGTACGATCTTTTTGCCTGTACTCCGTCCTTCTTCTTTCTAATTTCAAAATCGTTTTTATCTTTTGCTCCTTTGTCTTCCTCCGATTCGGAACTACTGCTTGAACTTGCATCTCGTTTCCTGTTGGAATCGAGATTATCCTTTCTCTTATCAGGCGACTTTGACCGAGACTTTGACGATCTGGAGTCACTCGATTCGGACCTCGATTTTCTAGACTTACTTCTGTCGTTGCTCTTTGATCTTGATTTTTTCGATCGTGATCGAGATCTCGAATGGGACCTCGGAGACTTGGATTTCGTACGTCTTGATTTCGAGCGATCTTGCGATCTAGATTTTGATCTTCTAGATTTTGATCGAGATCTGGATCGTCTTGATCTTGACTTAGATCGAGATCGCCTAGATTTCGATGCGGGTGATCGAGAACGACGTGTCTTTGAGTCTCGACTTGGTGATTTGGATCTAGATTTTTTAGAGCGGCTTATGGGTGATTTTGATCTAGATCTAGATTTCTTTGCTTTTTCCAGTGTCTCGGGAGATGGAGTACGATTGTTTTTCTTTTTTCCGTCAGCGATGCTCATTAATTTAGCTTGTAATCGGGATATCGCAACAGCGGCTTCCCTGTTGAAACACCTTGATAAATAATCTTTAGAGAGTTTACCTTCGATAATAAAATATAAATACTTACGGTTTTGTCTTGACTGGCATAAGCGGTATAGCATTTTCAGGTTGAGGTGAATCTTCCCGCTCTACTTTAATCTCAGACATATCTTTCCCGTTGTCCTTGAGCGAATTTTTACTAGGCGATCTTGAAGAAGATCGTCTTTTGCGGCTCGATCTGTCACGGTCTCTGTGTCGATCTCTTGATCGACTTCTTTTTCTAGTAGTAGTAGTAGTAAATGCGTAAATTTTTGAGACATCTTTAATGACATGCAACAGTAATATTTTGTGAACTCAGAAATACCTGTCTCTATCACGGTCTCTACTTCGATCTCTCCGACGCTCCTTCGAAGAACCACGTTCCTTTTCTTCTTTTTTTATCTTATTTTCTGCTTCATCTTTCTCCTTCTCCCTTTCCTTTTCCTTCTCTTTCTCCGCCAAAGAAGCTTGGAGTTTCTCTTGCTCTTCCTAATTACATAAATCACTTATTTTTATAAATAAGCATAAAACATGTAAACTGAATTGCATGCATTAGAAGCATTCATTCAATTGAACATTTTACTGAACGTCAAAATCTAGTTACTCAACTGTTTCACAATTATCAGACTAGTTCACACAATACTGACAATATGAAAATTGATAATTACCAAACGTTTTTTAATTTGATCTTTTTTTTGTTGCAAGAAAGCCTCTGGAATGCCCGTTACACTTTCCTGAGCAGAGACCAAAAGGTCCCATAATTCACCCATGAAAGATCGAGCATTCCTTCCATTCAGGAAACCTGTGAGGTTGATCTGCATTTTTCGGGGGTCAGGAAACTGTAAAACATACAGTATCTCTTTTTATTTCTCTGTGCAGATGTAATTTGATCATTACGATTAGATAGAAGTCGAGGTCTATATAATTTCGACACGAGATTAAACATACATTGCAACATCCGTCTCCCTACGTCGATACTAACTGCTTTTCCCCCTCGAAAAAGCAGATATTTATATTTCTAATATACCTTACCATCAACAGTAAATTGCTCGCCTCATGTCTGCACTAATATGGAATATGCTAAGAAGAAAAAAAAAATATTATACTCATCGATAAACGCACACGTAGCACAGATACATTGATACCTTCTCAATTTAATAATAGCACTAAAGTAGATGCTGAAATTCCTATAGAAATATGTTGAAAGTGTTAGCTGAAAATGAAAGGATTAATTTGGAATAGAAGGAACACCGTTCCACCAACCTGTGATGTTGACAAAGAGTGTCAAACCGAGTAGAGATACCTCCGGCAACGTCCACGAACGTCAATCTCCGGCATCTCCAGCATTGACTGTATGTCTGAAGAATCATTAACTGGAGAACAGACCTGCACGGCGTGTAACGATCCTCGATCCCTCGGAATGCTGATGGGAGGCTCGAAGAACGAAGAAACCTGCGTCACGGGAGTATCCGCCATGTGTGTTGCTCGTCCTTGCGTGAGAAGACAGCATCTTGGTAGACAGCGCGACCAGTCCCTTTCACTTCAGTTGGAAGTGTCGATTATCGGTAGACATCCAGTAATCGAAAGCCACAACAGCGCAGCTTTTGCAGCTTGGAGAGTAACCACCTCAAACGAGGCAGTCACGAAGCAGTCACGAAGCAGTCACGAAGCAGTCACGA